CGATAAATGTTCGATATAATACACCATTCTCACACTCCCACGTTCAGTGAAAGCCTTGGTGGCGTTTTCTACTGCAAGGAAAGCGACACTACACTGCTGTCACCAGGAGAGGGCGCACTTCCGAGTTTTCTACATGATTAGAGAGAGGGAGGGGGCCACGAGTAAAATGAGTCTTTAGCAATGGCTGAAACACGGAGTTATACATTCCCTGTTTGAGTGGAGTGACCGGCGATCTGCTCTCCTGTGACCGAGTGTGAGTGACGAGGTCAGTGGTGTAACTGTCCTGTCCTACAGCGAACTCACCTCTTTACTAACATCCTAACCAGCTTTATCGGCGTTAAATCAAAATCCTCACAACTACAGCGCTGTTACAGCGCTCAGTCATATTTAAGTATGAGTGCATTCCCAAGCAACGAAAGTGAAAGAAAGAAGTGGGTTCATCTAAATTACAGCCCTGATTTAAACAACAGTAAACTGAGGAAGCTGTGAGGCATTGGAGAGCGGGAGAGCGCTAGCTTTCCAGGCTAGCTGTTTTTAGCTGCTGGCTAACTTGAAGCAGCTCGGTCACTCGCACGACACGGAGAATTGATGATACTGTGGATCAAACAAGACACAAAAGCACTGCTTTCAGTTTAAACATACCTAAAAGGAGGACTTTTAGGGTTTTGCGGTTCACCCCTTAAACTACTACGATAGTATAGAGAAATCCAGTCGTCTAGCTGGTGTCTGAATACGGTGATGTCATTTGTAGCGGGGTAGCCGAGCGCTCGGCACCAGACAGCTAAAAATAATCAGTTTTCTTTCTTAAATTATGACTATTACAAAATAGCCGTGCTTTTCCAGCTGGTAAAAACAGCTCAGCAGACACTTTCTCCCACTCTCCCATCACAGATCTGTGAAATGTTCCACTGTTTGCCAAGTGTTTGTCATGTTCTGACCATAAAGGATAGTTTAAAACAGCAGTTAACCACCCAGGAGCAAAAATCAGCCTTCAAACTTGAAATAAGTAATGATTTGACATTTATCGCGGTATGTATCGATATCGAACGATATGAATTGTGTTTATCGTGATAACATTTTTGGCCATATCACCCAGCTTTACGAGGGGGGGTTCATTTTTACACTCTACTCATATAAATTGAATGAAAAAAGGTTGAGCATCACTCATCACACTTGGCATCAGTTCACTACCTCTTCACAGACTGGCTGTTTTGGAGCTGAAAGATAGGAGCTGGAAAAGGCTAGGCTGACATTATCTGAGGTAACAGATCATTAGCATTTGTCTGTTAGTAGCCATTACTGCCTTACACACTTAAACACCACGCTGGGAGAACAGTCCTGATGTTTGGTGTGTTCTCACAGGCTGTAGTTCAGGGTGAAGGAGTGTTTGAGTGTTTGGTCATTTAGCTGAATGTTTATATTACTCATCATCCACGTGGGAGAGCAGGTTCAATCCCAGTGCAGAGAAGCACATTAGCCTTCTAACAGTTTGTGTCAGTGATGTAATGACGTCTCTCCGGTACTGCGTGTGTATGATTATACTATATCATAGTGGTTCAGATGTAACAGCAGCATTTAAATACAGCACTAGTCCTCTTACCTGCCTCCTGTTATTAACCTCATAGAACTGCAACACAAATCAGGCCAAATAAATGCTGTAAACTGACCGATTATCAATCTCGTTTGGAGCGAAAATTCCAATCTTGGTTGTTTTATGTTTCCGGTGTGTATCTGTAGTTTTTTACTTTAAACAGTAAATAAAATGGAAAAGAAACTGTGATAAAACAAGTTTTGTATTCAGTTTTTGTTGGATGTGCAGCTTGTTTGGCCAGATCTCATTGCACTTTTATTTATTGTGAACTGGCAGAATGTGCAGTGATTCTCACTGAGACTTTACAGCCTCCGTCACTCTCAGCAGCGCAATAAAAAGAGAAAAGAGAAGAAAAATGTAGAGTGTAGAGGTTTTTCCTCTGCAGGCATCTCTGCGTGAGTTTATAGAGTTTAAAACCCAGCTGTTTTGTTTCTCCACTTCAGCCTTGGCAAAGTTTTTAAAGCTGCATTACTGTCCTCTCAGCAAACACCATTAACACTACTGAAAGAATAGTTCAGCAAAAAAAACCTGTTTACCTGATGTTCCACTTCCAGATGTGGTCGATCAGCCGAGACACGTTTGGTGTCCAAATGCTGCTAAAAACGCTAATCGCTCAAATCTCTGCTATAAACGCGTCAACAGAACTTCTCACTCACAGCACTTTCAGGTCTTTATTAGCCCTTTTAGGCATGGTGTCCCGTACATGGACAGTTCCATTACATTTTATTATACACTCTCAGAATTAAACGTACTAAACTGTCACTGGAGTGGTTCCCTCAAGGGTAGTCAGGGAACATAACTGAACCATAATCCACTGAAATGATATGTTCTAAGCTGTACTGACTCCACACACCCCGTCTCGTCTCCAGGCTTTTATTTTACTGTTCTGTTTAAAACATTCGGTTATGAAAAGGTACAAATACGAACTTTTCACCTGGACAAACTTATTTAAGGTTCACAATCAGACCTTAAAACCACTGTTGGACCTTTGAGGGAACATTGATTTTGATGGTACCTTGATGAATGAAAAATGTTCCTGAACAGAACCTTTATTTCTAACAGTGTTGGTGAGACAGTTTTCAGAAAAAATCTTTTAAAATGTGGATGTTTCTTCAAAAATTCTGAAATTTGTATGGAATTAAGGTCTTGCAGACTAAAGCCCTGTTGGAGCTGGATTAGTTTTATCTGGGAGAAGCTGAAATTTAAGTGACTACTGATGAAATCTGTGATTTTAATCCAGTATGAATCTGTAATGTCTGTAATTTTTACAGTCTGCTAAGTAATAATTTACTTAAGTAATATAATTTACTGAACCGGGAGCTCCCTCAGAAATCAATATAATAACAAAACTGGGTAAAACTGCACCTCCATTATTTCATTATTTTTTCTTTGTCTGCAACCTGAAGATGAGGCTAACGGCTAAATGGAACTTTATTTGACACAATTCCTTAATTCTCAAGTAACTACTGAAATGAAATCAGCGTTTGATGTGAAGTTTCCTCCTGTCTGTCCTGTTTTGCATTTAGGGTTTATTTATTTATTGACATATTTAACATTTAGATCGTTTAAAATGGTAGTAATGTGTTGGTGATGTTAACAGGTAGCCAATTAGGTTCAATTCAATTCGACTTTATTGTTATTATACATGTAGAGTTCGGGCTACTTCTCCGGTGCATGACCATTAACACAAGGACATAAGTGCACATTTATAAGTGGGATAACAATATAACATAAATACACACAATAAGAACAAAAATATACAGACAGTACAAACAACAGACGATAAATACAGAATAAACTAAGGACACGGATGTTTACTGGTGCATAGACAGTGTGTACAAAATGTGGCATTGTCAGAGATCCAGAGATCCGGTCCAGTGTGTGAATTATACTGTGTTCAGTGAAGATTGTTTGCTCAAGGCTTTAGTCCAAGTGTATAAGAAGGCAGTCAGCAGTAACATGGAGACAGTTCAGAATTAGATTCGAGTGTGATCTGCATGTAGTTCAAGTAGTGTTTGTAAAAATGTCATTGGTCCATTGTGATTTGCCATTGTTATGCCAAGTTGACCTTTTACCTGTCGCCCTATTTTTGCCCAAAACAGTGTACCCAAACTAAAAGGAGAGCTGTTCCCACATGCTTTGGGCTACAGTCATGATCATGGTCTCATTCGAAAGGAAACACTCTCAAGATGTTTTGCAGCGATCAGAATAACTGTATGAATCACTGTCACAGAGTAACAGAGTCTAGAATGGAGGAGTTTATTTCCTCCTGACTCATAGATCTCTAGACTGATCTCTGACTCTTGCCGTGTTATCAGACCACATGTTTTAGATCATGGTGTCTTTGTGGAGAGCGGCGAGGCTCTAAAGGTGAGGACACACCGATTTTAGCATTGGTGCAAATGAGATGATCGTTACTGCTGTGAATAACGGATCATAAAATAGATTGTGGGAATCGAATCAATAATTTGATAACTGCAGAGAATCAGATTTTGTCAGTAATCTGATCAACATGTTTGCATGGGTAGTCAGATAATGGGGAAACTCCAGGTCTACATGAATCAGACAGTAATCAGATTTATGCTTTGCAACCAGCCAGTAAACTCACAGAAGAAGACGTGATGTAAACGAATGTAAAATTCAAACTTCATGCTGCAGCTTTTTAAAAAAAAAAAAAACATTGCACCACTTTATATGAAAATATGAACATACATCATCTAAAAGATGGAGAATATTTAAATCGTTCATTTCGTCAAGCATGTATTTGGGTTTAGCGTCGCTACAGAAATGTTTTGCTGCATCTCATGTCAACACTCCTTGCTCATTTCCAGTACCGCGGTCTGTTTTCACACATGCGCAAACTGAGGAATCTGAAAGAAATCAGAGTAAGAGTTTACATGCACAGAAATCTGATCACTGAGCTAAAATCCAGCCTCTTTATCAGATTTCTTAATAGGATTTCTAGGCCTTACTCTGACCTAAGAAACTGAAGTGTGCTGTTTACATGACCATTTGAATAATCAGATAACTGCAGAAAACCTGATCAGATTATTGAGTACAAGTAAACATGCTCACTGTATTTCCAGACAATTTGCCTAAAAATTATGTTATAATATTTAAAAGAACGCAAGTATACACTTCAGTGGAAGTGTGCTGGTACCTGTACAGTGATCTAGATAAGATTGACAGTGTTTGTGAGCCAATGTTGAGACGTATAATTGCTCTCAGGTTTCTCTATATGAGTACTGACATCACTCTTCTGATTTTCAGTAGTAGTAATTTTAGTGGAACTGTGGAAGAATACTTGAGTGTGCATCCCTATTGATCAGTCATGTGATTACAGCACATTAGGAGCATCAACACTAACATGCTCATTAGTGCGAATGATGTTTTCCATTCTTTCCTGCAGGGCTAAATACATTAGCACAGAGTTGGGGATCCGCGAGCGTCTGTTTGTTGGGATTCTGACGTCGAAGGGGACCCTCAGCTCCCTGGCTGTGGCCGTGAACCGCACCATCAGCCACCATCTGGACAACGTGGTGTTCTTTACCGGCGCCCGAGATCGCAAGGTCCCACACGGGATGTTTGTGGTTGCCCACGGCGACGAGCGGCACATCTGGAACATGTACCAGACCATCAGATACATCCTGAATCACTTCATATCCGAGTACGACTATTTCTACCTGGCCCAGGACGACACGTACACGCAGGCCGACCGAATCAAAGCACTGGTGGGACATCTCAGCATGGACCGGCTACTCTACATGGGCAGTCCAGAGGAGTTTGTTGGAGGTCAGTGTTTAAGGGTGGGCAATATGACAGCGATGATGAATTATGCCACAGTGGTTGAGAGTCAGTCAGAGTGGTTTGGTGTGAAATGGTTCAGATGTCTTTACAGTGGTGGTGATAGGAACCAGGGGTCGCCATGGCTACAACACAAATATAGACATTTTATTTACTATCCAGAACCGCCAGTGAACCTACACGAGTCTTCTGAGTTTATATGGAATGTTGATGATGGTAAAATGGTGGAAAATCTGAAATAATAAGTTTTCTTTGGGGGCTGTTTTGCCTGAGCATGTATCCCTCCACCATGACTGGAGTTTAAAAAGACAAAAAATCTTCTCAAAACTATCATAAAACAGTGTCTCAGTCATCAGACAGTGAATTCATAACCAGTTCATGTAGTAACTTTCTGTGAGGGAGCTTTTAGAGGTGCACATCCTATTACCAACTATATACATTTAACATGATATACATTTAACAGTTGTATTATTTTGAAATATTGTTGGAATTCTCCTTTCAGTATCCCTCCACCTGTGTAGCCTATAGGCTTTAAGACAAAATTATAATAATTGTGTTTTTTAATGTATATTATTATTTTAACAGCAAAATTACTCAAAATGCAACTTTTTTAGGTTAAGACAGTTATTTTTTACAGAGTGGCTTGAGTTTTTGATGATGATAAAACATAAAAAGTGACATTGGAACTATTTGATAATATGTAGTTTTTAATTACCAATTTATTATTAGCTTTTGAGACAGTCACAATACGGAAATTGATTAACAAGAAGACGACGTATAACATAGCTAGTCTACCCTTAGCATTAAAATATTACTTTTTTTTATTTGTAAGGGCTGGCAGCTGCTGCGAGGGTATAGGTGATTAAGTTGAAGTGAGAAAGAGATTTAAACATGTGGTTAAAGTTAATGGCAGTCATAGAGTCACTCATTTTCTGCTTTTGCATTGTATCTGGTCCAACTCTGTAAACACTGATGTAAAACTGTGTATGGTGAAAATGCCTTTGGGTAATGTAATACTGTATTTTTGGGATATTGCCCCTCTTAGGTCAGACTCAGGGGCGGTACTGTTACGGAGGGTTTGGGTACCTGCTGTCCCGCGGCCTCCTGCTCACTCTGCAGCCCTTTCTGGAGAACTGCAGGAATGACATCCTCAGTGCCAGGCCGGACGAGTGGCTCGGACGCTGCATCGTCGAGTACACCAACACGCAGTGTGTGGAACAGTTCGAGGTAGGAGCTTAGTGTTTTAGGAGTGTGAGTGTGTGATTGAGCATGGCTGCGTTCTTGGGAATTACAAATGTGTGTAAATCAAGTATTTTAAAAACGGCTATGACCGTGGCTCGGCCAGTCAGACTGTAACGTGCCAGAAGTATTCGGACGCTCGCGGTTAAAATGAGAAAAGGAGGCTTTACTGTTAGAAGCACAAGCCAGGATCGTGGTCAATAAACAGGCGTAGGTCAAATCCAAAAAAGACATCCAACACATAAAGACAAACATAACAGAAGGCAGAAAGTCCAAATAAAGTCAGGCAAAAGTCGATGAACAGGCAGAAAACAGTCAAACACAGGAATGATAGCAAACCCAGGAGAACACAGTGTATCAATGATGCAATACCTCGCAACTAGTCTAGGCTAAAGCCCGGGTTTATATATTAAACTATATTGGTCATATGACAACAAGACAGGTGAACAGAGTTAGTATTCTGGTGACTGGGAGCGCTGATTGGAGTGCAAGGGAAGGTCAGGGGTCACAAGAGGATTCTGGGAGATGGATGCATGACACAGATTTTATGTGTTTTATAATTAGCAATTAAGACCTTGTGAAGAAATGATAAAATGTACCTACCACAGTTTTCATTAGCCAGTAAATATTGTTTTTTACTAGGAAAAAAATCTACAACACCAGAACACATTTTTTTTTAAATGTCCAGTAAAAATAAGGATTGCACCAAAAATTTCTAGATATGTAATAATACTGTGGCCCAGTATTCAGTCGCACATGAATTCTTCTGATATGAATGGACTGTAAATGAACTCTTAGTCAATCACAGTTTCTTGAAAATAAATGTATAGAAAGTGTAAAAGTTAGTGTGTGTTCATACGCACAGTGTACTCCCCCTGTTCACGCTAGAGTACGTTCAAAAGCTGACCGAGACTGACCTCCTCAGGGGGTTTCGGCCCACTAATTTGGCTGCACTGAGTTCAAATGGCAGCGCTCTCACATGTTCTAACGAAGCACCCTCACAGAGTTCTCTCACCAGTGTTCAGTTCAGTCAGACTAAACCTGACAAATGTAAACATGTCCTCAGTGTGGGGTCGTGCTGTGTCCGTGCCCTTTGCACTCAGTGCTAATGAATGGACCTTCTGATCTCTGCCAGGGATTCACTCTGGGCGAGGATATATCTTATCCAGCTTAAGCGTGAGCCTGTCCACTACTGAGTTTAACTCAGTACTCCTGACTCATGCAAGTCTCTCACTCATTCAGACAACTGACCTCTCACAATATATCACAATACCTACATTTAGAGTTGGTTATTCATTCAGCCTAATGAGAAACTGTAGAACAGACTCGGTTTATATCACAATACCTACATTTAGAGTCAGTTATTCATTCAGCCTAATGAGAAACTGTAGAACAGACTCAGTTTATATCACAATACCTACATTTAGAGTCAGTTATTCATTCAGCCTAATGAGAAACTGTAGAACAGACTCAGTTTATATCACAATACCTACATTTAGAGTCGGTTATTCATTCAGCCTAATGAGAAACTGTAGAACAGACTCGGTTTATATCACAATACCTACATTTAGAGTCAGTTATTCATTCAGCCTAATGAGAAACTGTAGAACAGACTCAGTTTATATCACAATACCTACATTTAGAGTCGGTTATTCATTCAGCCTAATGAGAAACTGTAGAACAGACTCAGTTTATATCACAATACCTGCATTTAGAGTCGGTTATTCATTCAGCCTAATGAGAAACTGTAGAACAGACTCAGTTTATATCACAATACCTGCATTTAGAGTCGGTTATTCATTCAGCCTAATGAGAAACTGTAGAACAGATTTAGTTTATATCGCAATACCTGCATTTAGAGTCAGTTAACCCTACACTGTACCTACCAATATAGGATTTGTGATATAAACTGAGTTGTTCTCTTTAATTAGTATGCAGCGGCTCTGGTACCATTTCCTATGAATTCTGTATTCATAATGCATTATGATGGCATTCTTAAGGTGGTATATAGCACACATACCGCCTTATAATACTGGGCATAAGCATGTATAATTGATCTAAAGCAGTTATATTTACATGCAGTAGTCTTTTTAAAGCAAGAGCATATGACTTTATAAGGTCCAGTTCTATGTCTCCCATGTCTGTTGGGGGTGGAAGTGATTATACCCAACAAATGTTTACCTGGATTACAGTCCAATGTGATGCAATATATAACACAACACAAACTGTGCAGCAGCAGATGAGCTATCGTCTCTGACTTTACATCTACAAGGTGGACTGACAAGGTAGGAGTGTCTAATAATGTGGACAGTGGGTGGACACAGTGTATATATATATACCTGTTATTGTGTGTTATATAAGAAGCATTTATGTTCACAGTGTTTGTATGAATGAAGATTATTGCGTGTTATGAAACCTGACTTTATAAAGTGATGTGCACTCTTGTTTTATGTATGTCATGCATGTAATTATAACTACATATATGCAGTTATTCAAGTGTGTTCTAGGCATTATAAGGTATTTGTATTGCATATAACACCATATACATTTATTTACAAAGCAGACGTGTTATCGCAGTTCTTTATCAGGTTTTAAAATCATGTTTTAAACAGCTTGCAGCCCTTAGATCTTGTAGTTCTTGCCAAAAAATCAGAAGTGCAGACTCAAACCTGTCAATACTGAATGTGAATTCAAAGTAAATCATAATGTATTGATGCAAGTAATCAAGAAACAACAGTCCTCCAGGACCAACACAGGAACACAGGTGCAAAAAAATACAATAAACACAGTGCAGACAATACAGTACAGTAAATAAATACGACTTACAATAAATACAAAACAGAACACAGGCAGCACACGGTACTGAGAGTGTGTGGAGTTGTGCAAAGGAGGATGTAACATACTGTGACATATGACAGATAGCCTTGCATATTTAAGCATAGCAGTCACTGAGGTAGCAACCAGAACAACAACAACGGGATACAGTATTTGGTTGATACGGTAATTCTAGCAGCCGATATTGTTAAAGAAATAAAATGTGCAAAAATGCAAGTAGTCAGATATATGAACTATGCCAAGTGAAGTATTTCAGTGTGAAATGTAATAATTATATTTAAATACAGTGTCTCAGACATAATGAGACATATGTAACTACATTGTAATAATATGTAACAAAACAACAGTAGGAACTCTGGACTTCTCATGCGCTTCTCATGATTGGCTTCATTTCCCACTAAAACCCATTCAGGTTCATGTACTCTACATACAGATGGCCTGTCTTGCACTGCTGTGACTGACCGAGGTTTCAGATGTGTCTGTGATGTCTCAGGTCCTGGCTAACAGTGGGCTCCTGCTGCTTTACTGCTGTGGTGTAATTCCTTGTTCTTTTAATAGCTTAAAGAGATTGGATTCACTTTTTCCAGCCCCACCTTAATCGGCTCAGGTGCTTCCCGTCTGCAGTCTGTTTACTGCGTTAACGCGTGACGTAACCAGAGGCAGGGTCTGCCTGTCAAGCATTCCGGGACATACGAGGAAATCAGGAATGTTAAATAGAAACTGTTGAAGCACTTTATTTGCAAAAATAAAGTGTCTCTGGTCATATTAAGCATGATTCATGATACACTCTCAGAAATAAAGGTACTAAACTGTCACTGGGGCAGGACCCCTCTTGTCACTGGGGTGGGACCCTCAAGGGTCCATCTCAGTACCTTTAGTCAGGGAACATAACTGAACCATAATCCACTGAAATGATATGTTCTAAGCTGTACTGACTCCACACACCCCGTCTCGCCTCCAGGCTTTTATTTTACTGTTCTGTTTTAAAACATTCGGTTATGAAAAGGTACAAATACGAACTTTTCACCTGGAAAAACTTATTTAAGGTTCACAATCAGACCTTAAAACCACTGTTGTACCCTTAAGGGAACATTTACACTGTTTGTACATTGAGGAAGAAAAAAGGACCTGAACAGAACCAGACTAAATTCTTTCTTCCTGTAATCGTATATCTTTAATGTAATGCGCTGTAAGGCAGCCTGGTTACATACTTTTGAAAATAAAACACTAAATTATTTTTAAGTGTGTGACGTCACTGCGATGGGTTTGTCTTTGCTCTTTTCATAAACATCGCTCACAAAGTAGCCCAAACAACACTTAAAATTTATGCTGCAGATGCTCCCTAAAAGTAAACATTGGCAGTAAATGCTGGGGAAGTTATAGTCATAATTAAATAGGACATTTCAAACAGGAGACGAATATGTAAGTACGTTTTTTCTGCTTTGACTTTTGCCTTGTCCTTTTGTCCGTTTTGAATCTCTGTTTTTTTTTTAACTTATCCTTCTGGTTTATGAGGGTCTTTTTGGATTGCCCCTTTGTTAATAAAACTCTTAAAACTAGCCTCGACTGCAATCATCTGATTCTGTCTGCAACCGTAACGTTGTCAAGCTAACATAATATTGCTAATTGCACAAAGCTGTAATGCCAGTATTGTGAGAGCAGGCATGACCAGCAATTTCAACATATCAAATATAATGAAGCATTTAAAGATGAACCATGCCAACCTGTACCTGCCATTCTTTCAAGTAAGGTATGTTTTATTTATCACAGAGCCGCCTTTAGGCTGGATGACTTTGACAGTGTGTGTTTATTTTGGAAGCAGTTCCTCATGTATACAGCTTTCTAAATTGACTCTGAGGCGTTGTCTGTTTCTCTGTCTAAACATTTTATTGCTCTGCTGTATCTCCTACAACACATTATTTATACTAGCCACATGGAAATCATTGCATTTATACCACATCACTACAGCCTGAGGAAAGGGAAGGTTTATTTAATAGTTAATGTGTTATTTTCTTGTGTTAATACACAAACTAGAGCTGTTGCTGTGTCGCTGTATTAGTAATATAGTGACCTACTGGGTATTTTGATACCTATTGCATTCAGCCACAAGAACATTAGTGAGGTCAGGTACTGATGTTGGATGGTCAGTTCTGGATCACTCCAACTCATCCCAAAGGTCTTGGATGGAGCTCCATCACTCCAGACAATGCAGCTCCATTGCTGCTCCACAGCACAATGCTGGGGGGTTTTATAGGTCCAAAAGTATGTGTACCCCCCCCATATAAAATCAGGCATGTAGCCATGCAATCTCTATAGACAGTTAGTACAATATTTATGAAAATCTAGAGCAGTGGAACCGTGTTCTCTGGAGTGATGAATCAGCTTCTCTATCTGTCAGTCCGATGGAGGAATCTGGGTTTGGTGGATGTCAGGCAAACGTTACCTACCGAAATGCATAGTGCCAACAGTAAAGCTTGGTGGAGGAGGGATGATGGGCTGGGCTGTTTTTCAGGGTTTGGGCCCCTCAGTTCCACTGAAGGGTGATGTTGATGCTGCAGCACAAAGACATTTTAGACAACTATATCTACTTCCAGCTTTGTGTCAGCAGTTTGGGGAAGAGCCTTTCCAGTTCCAGCATGACTGAGCCCCTGTGCACAAAGCAGCTCCATAAAGACATGATGTGACCAGTTTGTTGTGGAGGAACTCCAGTGGCCTGCACAGAGCCCTGACCTCAACCCCACGGAAGACTTTTGGGATGTATGGGAACTGCGAGCCAGGCGTTCTCGTCCAACATCAGCGTCTGAAATCACAAATGCTCTTTTAACTGAATGAGCACAAACTCCAAAACCTTGTGGAAAGCCTTCCCAAATGAGTGGAGGCTGTTAAAGCCTCAAACACCATATTAATGCCCATGGCTTTGGAATGGGATGTCCAACAAGCTCATATAAGTGGTCGGTCCACATACTTTTGGCCATATAGTTCTAGGTCCATTCACGATGTGTCATTCTTCTTCAGCCAGAATCACAGCTCTAAATTGAATCTCACCTTCCCAGACTGACCCATATGTCACTCTCCTTTGTTTTGAGAGGTTCCACCGGTCCTGTTGTTAATACGTTCTTCACACAGACCCCAAGAGCTCTGTTAACTGAAGTTTTAGGTGTGATTTATCAGGGAAGCATTGGGTGTGTCAATGTGACTGGAGTGAGAGAGAGAGAGAGAGAGAGAGAGAGACGGAATGAGTCAGACGGCTGGAGATGAAGCAGTGTCTGCCTCCAAGCGTTTCGGGCCGTTATTAATGGCACCCTGCGCTCCACTGCTGTCAGAACTGCTCCCAACTCTCCACTGACCACAGCAGGGTCCTTCACATTAACTCCACTAAAACTTGACACTATATGTGCACTGACAGTGACCAATGGAGTGTATCAGAGAAGGGAGGGCACAGGTCCAATACTCTGTATATGTTTTAGCCTGATACCAGCAGAAAATGGTGAATCGAATATAGACAGACAAATCTGATCTGATTCTCTAATAAAACTAGCCTGAAATATGGGAGCATAATGTGGTAAATCATTTTCCATGCTGAGGAGAGAGACAGGAGACTGAGATGCAGTGAAGAAGTCTTTATGTAAGAGTTCAACAGCCTGCAGTACTCCAGTCTGACAACAGACTATATATATATACATATACATACACTGCTCAGGCATAACATTATGACATTATGACAACATTATTATCTCCTTGTTTCTACAGTCATTGTCCATTTTATCAGCTCCACTTACTATATAGGTGCACTTTGTAGTTCTACAGTTACAGACTGTAGTTCATCTGTTTCTCTGCATACTTCGTTAGTCCCCTTTTACCCTGTTCTTCAGTGGTCAGGACCCCCATGGACCCTCACAGAGCAGGTACTATTTGGGTGGTGGATCATTCTCAGCACTGCAGTAACACTGACGTGGTGGTGGTGTGTTAGTGTGTGTTGCGCTGGTCTGAGTGGATCAGACACAGCAGTGCTGCTGGAGTTTTTAAACACCTCAGTGTCACTGCTGGACTGAGAATAGTCCACCAACCAAAAACATCCAGCCAACAGCGTCCTGTGGGCAGCGTCCTGTGACCACTGATGAAGGACTAGAGGATGACCAACACAAACTGTGCAGCAGCAGATGAGCTATCGTCTCTGACTTTATATATATATATATATATATATATATATATATATATATATATACACCCTGCCATTGTTGGTGTATCTGATAAGAATAAACAATAGACATTTTTTGTAAACACATACAAGCAGCTACCTCTGAAGTCAGGAAACACATACAAGAGACATTCTGTTGTACGCCAGGAAACACCTGACCAGCCAATTCAGGAAAAATGTTAAGTAAAAAACTAAAACTAAATAAACAAAATAAAATAATTTCTAGTATAACATAACGCACAGTAAATTAAGCCATGTTAGAACAACAGTAGCCACCTATAGCCTAAGACTATAATGAGAAGAACGAATAGCTAAAATGAATTCTTTTTTTGATTCATTTAAACACCGTACCTGATTTTTTGTTTTTTGAATAATCAAAAAATTGTGATTTTGTTGGAGTCATGTTGTTGGTTATATTGGATAGTACAGTACGTAAGTAGTTTGAGCATAATACTTTAAGATAGCCATCTTAAGGGAAGTGCTTAAACTGAAAATGTTCGAAGCTGTTTTAAAAATATCCATACCTATCATATTGTGTCAGTATCAGCAAATACTTAGTTTCGTTATTTGAAAAATAATAAGTGGCATCATGCCATTTGTATATCTGAGAGATCTGGTCAACACCAGGTGTAGTCAAAAGTTTGGACCCACCTGATTAAGTTAATATTTTATTTTAGTCTAATCTTAAAGTGTTATGCTTTAGTTCTTTTAAAACATTTTGAAAACATAAAAATGTATATATATATTTATATATATATAAACATATATATATATATAAAGCTCTTAAAATGTTTCCAAATGTCTTTGCAATATTGTATATCATCGCTGTCTAAAGAAAAACAAGTATCTCCAAAACAGTAACTTTACAGGAGTGGGCAAAAACACTCTTACTTTCAATATAAGTTAATGTAAAGAGATTTTATTCCAAGTAATTTTAGAGCATTTCTATTGGTGCATTCATCATCACACACACAATCTAAAGGACAGCTGGTGTGTTGAAATGAAGTAGAAAAATAAAAAATCAACAAAAATGTAATAATATTTCATTTCATTATTTCAAACAAAAAAATATTATATTTAGTTCTTATGTGTCATTTTTTATTAAATATATGTTTTCTGGGGGTTTTGTGTGTGTGTGTGTGTGTGTGTGTGTGTGTGTGGTTTTGGAGGTCTCTGACATTTACACAGTCCTGTAGATTTTAAAAAACTCAACCTAAAACCTGCCTGTCTTCTTTATTTGTGTACTGTTTTGTGTTGTTTGCCTTTTCAGAAAACCGTTTTGCAGGTAGGTGTGTCCAAAGTGTGTAGGTGTTAGTTCAGTACTTTCCTTATCTGAGAGAAATTAGTGAAAATAAACACACTGTTTGTTTTTGTCCAGGATCTGCAGTATTACCACTTTGAGATGGGGAAGAACTCTGACCCCAGTAAGGAGGACAGCGTCCAGTTCAGAAATGCTGTCACAGTTCACCCGGTGTCTGATCCAGAGCAGATGTACAGACTGCACAAACACTTCACCCAGATAGAGCTGCAGAAAACATATGAGGAAATCAAGAAGCTGCAGGTGAGTCACGTTCACCTGTCCTCATGAGGTGTAATAGCACTGTTATGGTGAGAAACCTCTCACTTTTTGAGGTTATGTGGGGGTTTAGTTGCAGTTGTCATGGTCATGTGCTTTCGGATCAATATACTGTAAGTAAGCCATTCATTTAGTCACACTGCAAACAAATATCTTGTCAAGTAAAATTATCTTAAATATAGTCAAAAAAATCTAATATTTCTTCCATTGAGGTTGTTATAAACTTAATTTAAGATTATTTTCCTTATTTATAGACATTTTTCCTTTTTTTAAGTAATTTTAAGTAAAATTATCTCACTATATTGGCAGAGAGCTTTGTTTGTTTTAAGAAATGTGCTTGAAACCAGCAAAATGATCTGCCAGTGTACTGAGATCATTTTATTGATAAAATTATATAAAGTAAGTAAATAATGTCTAAAAATAATTTCACAGGTAAATAATCTTATAATAAGTATACAACCATCTCAACATGGAAAAATATTAGATATATGGATTAGATTTAAGATCACTTTTCTTGACAAGATACCACTTTTTTGCAGTGCAGGTACGATGACACCAGGATCTATAATGTGTGACGTATGTAGTATGAGATGGCCTGAGTGGTTCAAGCTAGTGAGAGAACAAACAGATTGGATAGTGTTTCCAACATGTTTACTATACACAAACGTGCACCCACAAGGTAAACAAAGATGAATCTAGAGGGAGAAAACACCCCAGAGACTATTTATATGTATGAAGAACATTCTAGGTATGGGCACAAATAAATAACTAACCCTTTGCATCACCCAGTGAAGCAGTAGAATGCTATTTGAAATTTTCAAATGTATTTTGCATCACCTGAGATCAAATAGGAAAAAATTCCAAAATAAAGAGAATCCGGTAGGTTTTGTCACTCAATGTGGCCAAGAACCACCTAGTTTGATAGCAAGGGGTTCATTTGACTCATGTGGAAACTATTGGAGACCACTGGTTTTGTGTGACGGGTAGCAGCACATGGTTGTCAAAACAGTGCTACAACAAAAACACACCTGCGTGAAACAAAGTGGTTTACAATGATAAAAAGGATCTAAGATCTAAGCTGCCCTAAACTTGGCATAGGGTCACAACACATTGATTTTATTAACCCCTTAAAAGGCCTTAAAAGTTTTATTACACACTTCTATAACCTAAGAATAGCTCAACCAGTTTGCAAGTCCCTGTAGTTATTGAATAATGAGCCTTAGTATGTAAACAGCTTGGGATTTTAGGGGGTTAATCAATTATGATCAGTTGTTGTGGCCTGTGGTTGTGTGCTCCTAATTCGATAAAATTAACAAATTCTTGGCTATCTTTATATACAAATCAGACCCAGACTTGGTGACACTACTCTTGCTCTTTCTTTCATACAGGCAGAAATAAAGAATGTGAGTGTTCTGGCTTTCGATGGCAATCGCAGTGCCACGTGGCCGATTGGGATCAATCCACCATTTGAGCCAAAGACTCGTTTTGAGGTGCTGCAGTGGGACTATTTCTCCGAGGACCACATTTATTCCTGCATGGACGGATCGGCCAAGTGCGAATTGCGGGGGATCGACAAGCTGGATGTGGCCGACGTTATTGAGGTGGCCATGGTGGAGCTGAACAGGAAATACAAGCCTGTGCTTCATCTCAAGAAGCAGCAGCTTCTGAATGGGTACAGAAGGTTTGACCCAACCAGAGGGATGGAGTACATTCTGGACCTGCAGCTGGAAGCCGTTAACCAGAAAGGACGAAGCGGGTTCATTACCAAACGTGTGCATCTGCTCAGGCCCCTCAGCCGCATTGAAATCATCCCAATGCCCTACGTAACCGAGGCCACCAGAGTCCACATTATCTTGCCCGTTACGTTCCAAGATCGAGAGCAAGTCCGACAGTTCTTGGAGATTTACGCCTCTAACGCCTTCACGACCGGCGAGAACGCTGTCTTGACCTTCCTCTTCATTTACGAACCGTACGAAGCTCAGCAGGCCAACAGGGATGACATTTTTGCTGGTGTCAAGGCTCAGATTAGTAGCTACGAACGCAAGTACCCCATGGTCAAGATCCCCTGGATCAGTGTCAAAACAGAAAGCCCATCCCAGATCAAGTTCATGGACATCATTTCCAAAAAGCACCAGGTGGACACTCTGTTCTTCATCGCCACAGTAAAAACCAACATCAAATCCGAATTCCTGAACCGCTGCCGGATGAACTCCATCACCAACTGGCAGGTGTTCTTTCCCATCCACTTCCAAGACTATAACCCGGACATTGCTTATCACGGTGAACCACTGCCTAAAACCATAGATTTGGTCAAAGAGGCAGGTCTTTTTGACCTCAGCTCCTTCGATGAGGCGTGTTTTTACAACTCCGACTACATGGCGGCTCGGACACGCATGGCCACAGACGTGCAGGAGAACGAGGAGCTCCTGGAGAGCCTGGATCTATATGATATGTTCGTGAGGTACTCCAGCCTTCACGTTTTCCGAGCGGTGGAACCGTCCCTTCACCGCCGCTACAGCTACCAGCAGTGCAACCCACGACTTAGCGAAGAAGGCTACCACAGGTGCATACAAGGCATGCTGCAGGGCCTGGGGCCTCGCTCCAAACTCGCCATGCTTCTCTTCGATCTAGAACAGGGGAACAGCACATAGGGCTGCCAGATGTGGACAGAATGTACACCCTATTGCAATTCTACTGTTCCATATGACAATTGCGATGCGTCTCGCAATAATTTAAAAGCACACTGGTTACACGATTGAAGATCGACCTGACCAGGCTTAATTATGAAGTCATGAATCATTTGGATGCCTTGATTAATCTAAAAAGAAACTCATAGAAATGGGATCATCTGACCATGGTAAAAAGCACTGTGGTCACAATTGCACAGGGCTATATTGGGATAACAATAAACAAACAATATTATGCAGCCCTAAAAGTACATCAACCTGCACTTCCCGTTCACAAGTGTAAGATTTCACCTTGAAATATGATTTGTAAGCTCAGCCCTTCACTGAGAAATTAATTGACTGCCCAAAGTGTTGGAATTCCTGCCTGCTATGTGAATGTTGATTATGCTCTCACCGGCTAAATTACACAAATAAGTGGCAAACAATTAGAGCTAATCTTTGGTTTGGGCCATAAATGTCAAAACTTGGTTTAAAAAACCTATATGATAATGCTCGTTTCTGCTAGCATCCCTATGGGATTTCTAGTGGTATGTTAGCACTATGTTAACTGTAAGATTTCCGTGGTTCTAGATTATACAAGAAAAGTTGAAGCTTGTAAAAGACAGTCTGTATGTTTTATTTAAAATGTGCAACAGACATTAATTTGCCATTATACATTGTATGACCTGGTTGGACTAGAGCTCGTATTCAGGCCAGTGACGTCTCTAGAACTTCCAGAAAGACTAGAATGACCTTCTTTCTTAGGAAATTGGTTCTACCCATTGGAAATAAAAAAAGATTGGTTGATTCTTATGTCAGTTCTAAATGATATTAGTGGTGAGTCTAATGTGTAAGGCCTTCAGGTTAGCTCCTAGAGTCTTAACCAATGGGAGAGCTCACTTGGCTGACTGTGATACCACAGAGAAAAACATCCTGATTGGACAGTTTTCCATTGGATGGTTCAAGATTTGAACCCTTCTGTTTCCACTACTTGAAGAGTTTACATACAGTAAGCATCATGTCTGTATTATGAGGAAGGCCCTAAGGAAATATGACAAATATGAAGCTTTTAAAGCATTTTATGTGATTTTATTTAGTCATATAGTGAGACGATAAATGATTCTAGCATTCAGATGAAAGATCAGACAGTGCTAGAAACTTTTGGAGTGGTGATTCATCAGTAAACTGTGCAATAGACTGCATGTGTTTTTTCCACTGCCAGGTTTGAGAACGTGTCCACTGTGTAGCCTCATCTCTGTCCACTGCACATTATGTACACTTAGCAGCATCAATCATAATCATGCGCTACTGTGAAAATCTTACCGTGAGCTCATCTCTCAGAGTGCCACAAGGGCACCTGGGTAAAAGACTGAACCTCAAACTATGTGACCCGAGCATGAGGCTCATGAACGTAAGGACATATTGTGTTTCTAATTTTGTTGCAGGCTTCCACCTCATCGTCCAGCTCAGTGGTCCAGATTATTTTGGCTAATTTAAAGTACTGAGAGTGCATCGGGCCATTAATCCTGGAAGTGTTTCTGCCGTTATTATTGTTGTTTTTCTGTACTATTTAATTGTCTTTTAATGAAGTGCATACAGCGTGTCTCTCGTAATGAATTACATCCACAATCTTTTTAGGTTTGAGACTTATTTCTGTGTTTTTTGAAGAAAACAGACAAAAACATGGCAAAAATGTAGTGTTATGCAGACGTCCAGAGGCCACCCTTCATTTATTTAATTTCCAGCAGAAGCAGAAAATTCAACCAGCTTCTATGACTGAACTTTGGAGGTGTGTCTGCAGATTCTTTGAGGAACTGAGAGTGAGTCTCCTGAAAAGAATGGAAGCTGGAATAAAGGTAAAGAGTGGATACAATAAATACTGAAAAAGTGATATTTGTGTATTTAATGGCTGTTTTGACTGGAAATAAAAGAGTGAAGTGTGGTTTCTGACTTTTGCGCAGTAAAGGATGTTTTTTTCTCTCTGCAAAACAAGACTGTGCACACAACAACAACCTTTTATACAATAAAAATCATAACAAAACACAAATGTGGTTTGGATTGAAAGTTTAGAATCTGCACTTTCCACATAATTTCTCCACTTGTTTCAATGAGGTACGAGTCAGAAATAATTCATATAAGATTACACACTGCTTTTGTGATCACAGGTGACCTCTAAGGGTTTAAAAAAAGAGTGTCTGCTGTAAAAGAGAACTGAAAAATTAAGGTTTAGTGGCGAGAACTGAAGATAGCCAGTGTTAATCACTGTATAACTTGGCTTTAGTGATGATATACCAGATCATGTTGCTCTCTGTTTGGACTGCAGGAGCTCCATGAGCTTTAATGCTCGTTCAGGACAGGCGCCTTGTAATAATTCGGTGTTGGGCAATGTTTAGTGTGGTGTTAGGATTTGTTTCCTTTGTGCTGAGCCAGTTTATGCAGTGAGCCGGCAGCTTATCACTACTAAAGCACATTTTTACATTTACATTTACAGCATTTAGCAGACGATCTTATCCAGAGCGACTTACAAAAAGTGCTTTGTCTATCCAGAGAAAGTATCTTCGCTAGTTACCAATAGGTTAGAGAGAAAGCCGGTCCTGAGCTCAGATACTGCTAGAATCAGAGGGTCATTGACACCTAGAGAAAAGGGACGGAGTTAAACACAGAGCAGTGCAATACAATACAATACAATACAATACAATACATAAGTGCTGTACAATACATTACAATCAATACTTAACTCAGTGCTCATTTAAGTGCTGTATAAACAGACGGTCTTCAGTCTGCGTTTGAAGACAGCGAGAGACTCTGCTGTACGGACAGCCAGTGAGAGTTCGTTCCACCACCTGGGCGCCAGCACAGAGAACAGTCTTGATGCTTGCCTTCCGCGCGCCTTGAAGGATGGCAGGTCGAGCCGAGCTGTACTCGAAGCTCGAAGGGCTTCGTGGTACAGTTCGAGATTTGACCATTGCCATCAAGTAGGGAGGGGCTGGTCCATTTTTGGCTTTGTAGGCAAGCATTAGGGTTTTAAATCTGATGGAACAGCTACAGGAAGCCAGTGAAGGGAGCGCAGCAGTGGGGTGATGTGGCTGAACTTAGGGAGATTGAAGACGAGTCGTGCTGCTGCATTCTGGATGAGTTGCAGAGGCCTGATGGCACAGCTGAACACTCGTGCCTTCTAATGTACTGCATCCTCTCTCACACTCTGTTATCTAGATCTTACACTTTCATGTTAAATACTGTTTACGAAGTCGGGATGTTGGCTAGTCTCTTACACCACTGTTTAAAGTGAGGAAGGTTTAACCTCTTAAACTGCAGGCTTATTACTCAGCAACACTCTTAAAAATAAAGGTTCTTCACTTGGACGTATGGAAAAAAGAACATAGTATCCTTTACATTATGTGGAGTTTCTTTAAGCTTCTTTAAAGTACCTTCAGTTGAAAGTGGTTCTTCTATAGCATCACTCTAAAGAAACTTGAGTGCGCTATAAACCTAATGTGTACACCACCATTCATACATTTGGAGTCGGTAATAATAGTAATAATTATTTTATTCATTGTAACTCATACTAAGTAGATTAAAATAATCTAAGCCACAGTGTAAACATGATTCAGTGTTTGATCAGAAATACCTTAGTAACCTGCTTGTGTTAAAACTTTGAACTTTATTGAAGTTCTATTATTGGGTTAACAGAACAATCATTTTGTTAGCTTACTGTTAAAAGTTTAAGGCAAAAAGGTTAAAACTTTTGAAGTTTGTGAACATTGAATCATTTTTCATAGTGCAGTTTTTTTAAGATGTTATATTCAATATTTCTCTTTTTTGAGAACACCAGGAAGTAGAATCATTTAAATTACATTTTAATTTTTAAGCTTTTGTTTAATATTGTACAGTTCTAGTTGTGTTTTTTCTATAGATTTTATTTTGTTACTATTGTTGTATTCTGTGCTTTTGCTTTTAATTTCAAACATTATTATTATTATTATTATTATTATTATTATTATTATTATTATTATTATAATGAATAATATAACTTCTTGGATGTTAATTTTATTAGAACTTTATTCTTGATATTAATTTATTAGAATATTATTCTGGATGTTAATTTTATTAGAACTTTATTCTTGATATTAATTTATTAGAACATTATTCTGGATGTTAATTTTATTAGAGCTTTATTCCTGATATTCATTTATTAGAACATTATTCTGGGTGTTAATTTTATTAGAACTTCATTCTGGATGTTAATTTTATTAGAGCTTTTTCCTGGATGTTCTACAGCTTCTCAATCATGGTGGAATCTTCTACAGCTCTGTTCATCATTCAGGACACAAATGAAAAACGATCCTCACTCAAACGACTTTTAGTTCTTTCATTAAACATCCAAACAGCTCCCCTCTGATTTATCATGCACTGCAGTGATGATAATGCTTAAGAGGAAACGCTTTACTGTATGTTCTTCTTCGATTAGATAAGAGTGGAGCTGGAACGTGACGCATATTTAATTGATTTGTTCCTCAAAACTAACGTCTGAAGATCAAATCGATGGCATAGCGTAAAGTTGCAGTTGGTATTGTTTTGTCATTAGCTCTATACTGTTATGCAACAAACAGATAGCACGGCATACAGTCAGCATAAAAACACACTAAAGTTAGCCTGTTTAGCGGAATGGCTAACATGTTAACATTAGCGGAATGGAGTCAGGCAAGTTGCAACCACATTTCAGTGAAAACGGAAAAGAAAACGCAGACGTCCTGCACCAGTTTGTTGTCGAGGGAGCGGATAGTAGACGATGCCAGTCTCCGAGCTTCATCCTCACAACAGGCTGAAAATCTGTAGGTTAAAAGCTGCTACTGAGAGTGACTGACTAATATTTACCAAATTCCAGCAGTGTTCACACCTATGAGACGAATGACTTGAGAAGGGTGTAGTTTTATCTAGGCCAATATGTGATCTTCGACTGTGTTTTTACTGTTTTGCACAATAAAAGTATTTACTTTAAGTAAGTACTTTATTTGTTATTATTAGATATTGGTCTTATTAAAATAAACAGATATACCAGAATAATAAGCCAACATTTTGTTTGGAAAAGGAAAAAATAAGTATAAGTAATTAATTTTTTGAGTAGATGTTTCTGATTAGATATAAGACAATCCACTTACATAACGAAGGAGAAAGTCAAAGGAAAAATTCCAAAACTAGAAAATGGGGCTCCTAACAACCACCTGGAAGACCAGGTAGACACCAAAACTGCCCCCATCAGATAAACAGCACTTAAAGCTTTCATCTCTGAGAGAGAGGAGAAAATCAAGCTGCTTCAGATCTGAAAACATCCACAGGTGTTTCTGTCCATCCTTCCACTGTGAGAAGACGACTCAGCGCTGTGGGTCTGAAAGGATGTGTAGCTGTCAAGAAGAACCTCACTGAGAAAAGGAGACGGACACATCAAACAAAGAAGCTGAACGATGGACTGACCACCCCAGAGTCCAGACCTCAACACCACTGAACGTGTTTGATTACTTCAGAAAATGATCAACCAGCTTCTAAGACTGAACTTTGGAGGTGTGTCTGCAGATTCTTTGAGGAACTGAAAGTGAGTCTCCTGAAAAGAATGGAAGCTGGAGTAAAGGTAGAGAGTGGACAATAAATACAGAAAAAAGAATAATTTTAAAAATAGTTTTCTATTTCTGTTGATCCATTCACCATGAAATTTAACACAATGCAATTAAGAGTTTTCAAATTATGCAAAAACAGAAAGAAATTACAAAATGAATGTCATCAAATATTTTTGGACTGTTAAAATACATTTTTGTTGATTACACACATAAGATACACATTCACTGTGTGTGACACCAACTGCATCTCATACTCCCCTTTTATTGCACACGTGTGTAAATGTTGGTCTAGTTGTCTGTGGGTCGCTGACTAATGATGGTCAAAAGTGATCCACTGTGTTCAGATTAATGAAATCTTGTATTTATGTTGGTTTCATGTTTCAGAATACATTTTTTGTACCACTTTTACAAAATCATTGATTTAACAGGTCTTAAAATGATTCGCTTATATAGAAGAGGTTTCACAGTTAAATCCAATTACATGCCCTGACATTTCTGTTACAATTCATATTTGACAGGCATATTTTAATATTGAGATTCAAAACTTTTTCAGATTAAATCACAGTTATTATGGATATAATGAATTTTCAGACTTTACATCATCCGATACAGAAACCTGAACAAACCTCACTGTTATGAGGGTCTTCGGGGGTCTGTTTGTGATATAATTTACCATTGCATGGTTTTCTTGTTACAAGACAAAAAATCAGTGTTTTAACAAAGTTTCAAAATATTCAGAATTTAGATTTTTTTTTTCAGTAATATTAATTTACAAATGCCAAACCTAGTTCATATATATATATTTTTTTTTTTCCAAAATGTCAGTCTTTAATGACTTTTGTTTTTGTTTCAATATTTGGCTGGTTACAGCACTTAGACACTTGGACATTTCTGGTTTTAAATCTCTCAGAATATACTTATTTTAGACATTTTTAAAAGTGTCATTCACAGAAGACATACATTCAGCCGAAGTGTTATATAACCATATATCACTGCTGTCAGAATAACAACCTCATATCTCCAAAATGGTAACATTACAGGAGAAGGAAAAAACATGCTTTGCTTTTAATGTAAGTCAATGGAACCAGACTTCTTTCAAGTGATTTGGGTCGTTTCTTTTGGTCCATTCATCATGAAATGTACACACCTTGTAAAGAGCAACAGGCATTTTCAAATTATGTCAAAAGCTGAAAAACAACAGAAACGGAGATA